TAATTTCTGGTGTAAGCCTGTTTACTGCAAGATTTCTACGATGACCTGCATTATGTGTTCAGATTTTATGTTGTACAGTAGAAATTTACTTTTTATTTCAGCCAGTAATTCTCTTTTCAGAAGATGAATCTCATTGGCTTTTTTTTTTTTTTACATTGGTGCCATTCTCACTGTAATCTTTATTAAGCAAACTCATTACATCACATTATGTAGAAAACAAGACTAATATTCTGCATATTTTTACTACAGATTGTCACATGTAGCATTACACATTTCTTTCTGCTGCCTCTGACTTCTGTCGGCGGTTGATGAAAGAAATGTACTTCCTCGGTCTGTTGTTTGTTTATTCGTTATATCCACATCTGGATAGTTTGTCTTTTATTCACAGATATGTATGGCATATTAAAAAGCACTTTTTTTTTTTAAAAAACCTAACTTGAAAAGGGTCCCAGTCCATAGGCCTGAATATGTATGTACAGACAGAGAAATATATGACATTTTTAGCATTAATCCTTTTTTCTTTCTTTTTTTACAGTATTTCTGCACTTAATTGCGTTTCACTCATTTGATTGAAGATGACATACATATCTAATGAAACTAAACACCTAGCGAGGAATAGTGAAATGCTACATCAGTAAAGTGCTTATCATCATTTGCACTTTACTTACGTTCAGCTTCTGGAAAAGGAATTCAGTTTTTTATAGGGAACAAGAGTGATTATAGGAATTAAAACACCTACTGTACATGATATTGGTGCTAAGAAGACCTTTTTTTTTTTTCTTTCCAGAAACCACAAAGTGTCAGATATGTCAACAGATCATGCTCGGCTTTTATGTCCATACTCTTAAGTTTGAGCATAAAGCTGCATTAGCCACTGCTGAATAATCAATCTGTTTCTTTTCCCTTGTCTTTTGTTGTGAAACCACTCAAACACCAGATCCCACTTAGCCAGCTGCCTAAGACGATTTCGGGTGCTTGACCTTTGCGAAAACTTTGTTTACAGAACGCTTTTTTACAGGGTCTAAAAAAAGGGGGGTTGGTGTCAACTCCTGATTAATCAGGATTTCTTCCTTGTTATTTTTCTGTTACCCATACAAGCAAAGCTCTTAATTTTAAGAATGACTCAAGAGATGGAGACATAATATTCACACTAAAACTGATGGCATAACATTTCCTGTAGACGCATTTGGGTCTTTTAAACACTTTGACTTCCTTTTGGTGCTAATAGGACAAGATGTCAAGGTACATGCATTGACGCAACCTGCTTATGTACTGTATAACAGTGATGGCACGGTGCTTTTTGAAACTCAGCACTCACTGATCCTGTATTTGATTCAGTTCAGTTCATTTCTTCTGGTCGTTACCGGCTGGCAACATCATGACATACCTTAATTTGTCAAGTACAAGTAAAACAGCGCACTATGGGCAGATGTCCACATAGAGTTCAAATGTCTTCCACAGTTAAACCCAACTCTGCAGCAGTTATCAAAAGTCACACAAATAAAGATGAATGTAAAACTGTTTTTTAAATGAGTTCAATTTAGAAAGAATATTTTTTGAACATCACGTGATGAAATTACAGTTCTAAATGTTTCTCTCGACTTACTGTGGGGGACGGTTTTAGTCCATTTCTTTAATCAACAAAGAACTAACAACGAGCACCAGCATTAAAAAAAATGGGGAAAATTCTTAGTAGAAAATGTGTAAATATGTATGTGAACCATATTGTTTTTACTGTATTGTTACCGGTGTTTAGACAATGGGTGATCTTGCTTACTTTGAAACTGAATTACTGTACGTCGCTTAAAGTATATCCAGTTTAGACTTGAGAAGAGAATAAATTTCGCATTCCTTTTATGGATGGCTGATCTCTTTCGGGATTGTGAAATAAAGTCATATTTATATTTTGGACCCGATTATGATCTCCTCTTTTTTTTTTCTCCATCTGATTTTCCTATACTGGCTGTATGACTCACTGATCTGGTATTCCAATGAAGTCACTCAGACTTTGTCCCCTAAAGATGAAACATTACTTGTTTTTGTACACTTTGCCTCCTGAAGTAAAAACATGACATTATTTTCTAGCTAGCTTGTAGATGTATGACAGTGATTTTCTCCTGAATAAATTAAGTGTAATGTGATTTCAGCACAACAGTGAACCTTCAGAGCACAACCGACAGTTAGATCCCTAATCTCTCGGACAAAGACACAATTTGGGGAGTTTTGTCTCTGTATAATGCCACAGTGCATTTTAGATCAAAACATTACGATTTGATGAAAGCACAAACTTGTTTAGCTTTAATTAAGGGGTTTAAGAATTAAGTTGGATTAACTGTTTAGGCTCAAAAGTAACAGGAGAAACTAACATAATTTTAAATATAAGGACAGTCTTTTCAATGTGGTGGTTGGCACCGTTTACTCACAGCAAGAACTCTCTGTGTAACTCCAGCTTTCTCCCACATTTCAAAAGCATGTATGGAGTTACCAGCTTTTAATTGATGATCCTAACTTAATTGCAGGTGTGAATGTGAATGGTTGCCTCTCTGTGTTAGCCCTACAACAGACTGGTAACTTGTCGAGGGTGTGCTCTACCTTTTGTCCTATGAAAGCTAGGATAGGCTGCAGCCTCATCACAACCTCAACTATGATTGGACGAATGCTTCTGATCCTACCATCAGAGTGTGAGCCTGTGTGTGATTCCAGAAAGGACTAAATGTGTGGAAAAATTAATTATTTTAAATTATTTTGACTGCTCAGTTGGAGTAGCAAAGACGGGGAAAAAAGCAAAAAGACAATCCATAAACTAAAAAGTCACATATCAAGTGTGAAAAACAGCATGATTTATAAAGGCCACAGTGTTAAATCCCCGTAAGTTTTGTAAGTTGTCATTATTGTGTGAATGCGTTCACTCAGCTGACCACATGTGACCACAGCTGCATGGTCAGGAGTCGGGAACTATGAGTGCATGATTTAACATTAGTGTGAGCTCAGGCATTTCATCCAACACGTCCCTCTTATTCATTTTACAGTACATTTGTATGATTTAGTGTCTTCTGTAGGTTGATCAAGAGATTGGCTGAAAAGATAAAAATCCAGATGCTCTAGTGGCCCAGTCAAAGTGCAGACCTCAACCTACCTGAAATGCTGTGGTGGGACCTTAAGAGCTGTGCATAAATGCATGCCTGCAAACTGCTGTCATGTCCTCCATGTTTTCTGTATCTGATAGATTCATACAGAAAATATGGTTTTTCCAGGACTCCAAAGTCAACTGGAGTACATCTGTCTCTCCAGTACATGTCACACTTTGATTGATATAGAAGTAATAGGAACAAACCCTTCACCGTAACATGTTTCATTAATATAATATACATATATATACAGCGATCAGACACATGCACTTGATCTCCCTTTTGCTGCCAAAACAGCCATGACCCTTCGAAACATGAACTCCATTAGACCCCTGAAGTTGTGCTGTGGTATCTAGCACCAACATGTTTGCAACAGATCCTTTAAGTCCCGTAAGTTGTGAGGGGCGTCGCCATGGATCGGACTCGTTTGTCCTGCACATCGCACAGATGCTTGATTAGATTGAGATCTGGGAAATTTGGAGGCCATGTCAACACCTCAAACTTGTTGTTGATGCCCACAGCCATCAGGGATAAAGCATTTTCCATGAAAGGGTGTATATGGTCTGCAACAATGCTTAGGTAGGTGGTACGTGTCAAAGTAACACCCGCATGAATGGCAGGACCCAAAGTTTTTCAGCAGTACATTGCCCAAACCATCACACTGCCTCCATAAACTCGGTCCATAAGTGCATCCTGGTGGAGGTGTTCCCCGGGTAAGTGTTGAACATGCACCCGGCCATCCATGTTATATAAAAGAAAATGTGATTCTTCAGCTACATACTCAACTCTTCTGCTCAACCCACAAATGCATTTTCTTTATAAATGGCACCATTTAAGTGGACATAAACTAGCTGTCCAATGATAAAAGATTTATTGCCAAGACACATCATTACAACAAAGAACACACATTTCCTTACTAAAATTGAGTGCAAGTTTAATTGTTAACAATCGTTTCAAATCGCTTCAGTCACAAGTAAGTTAACTGAAGTTTCAAACTGTAAATTCACAACTTTAGTAAAGGTGAATCAGTACACACCCCTGGAGCGTTGTCTTTTTCTCACTGCATTCTCGCCTCTATGGAAGCTGGGAAAGTGGGGAAAACTCCCCCGGTCAGCATGAACAGTTAACTGTAATTAAATTAACCTCTCTTTGGGCTCATGAATAATAGTTTCAGTAGAGGCGTGGGAGGGGGGAGGCTGAGGGTAGTTTGCCAAAGAAAAAATACAGACACACAAATGTGTCCTTAACATGTGTGTAATTTAATTACACAAGACAGAACGAGATAAATTTTACAAATCTTTAATCCCTGAAACCTATTTGCTTTAATGTTGTCTTATTCTATTAGACACCACTTTATGGTTATGTATGGGAAATAAATTTACGGGAGAGGATTTATTTATTAAAACTTACTTACATACTTACTAAAAAGAATACAAACACACAAAATGTCTTTCATTTTAGTCCATTTCAATTTGGCCAAATGTCCCAGTACAATAATCATGGGAAGCCATATATTTATTAGGACTTTGGCTTCCTAAAGGTTAAATGGTTTTAATCTTAAGCTGGTTTAGGCATTCACATGAGAAATATTTTTCATATCAAGTACTACACTAGTAGTAACATTAATACAAACTAAATATTTTAAGCAATAAAAATTAACCTGAAATCAACTCTGGAAACTATTGTAGATGGTATTACAATTTTTAAATCACCACAAAATAAAATACTCAAAGCAGAGATAGATATTTTTAACCGTTTTGAATATACCTGCATGATTACTATTAGTTGGAGGTTTATTCACATTGGTTTATCTAAATTATTGTCCTCAGAAGCAGCCACTCAGTGGTAGTGGGTGTAACCCCTGTGCCCTTTCTCCTGCGACGACTCCCCGGATTCAGGTCATTCAGCTCGAACAGGACTGAGGCGGCTTCCGTAGCAGAGCGAGCTGTTGGAGTGACGCAGGAGCGCCGAACGGGCAGATCACTTCTACAGTCAAGATGGCGACATCGGAGCCGGTAAGAGAGACAAGAGATAGCACAAAAAATCGACTAATATGCACGTGAAGACCAGATAAATCTCCAATTCACCTACTACATACATCGCATAACTTTGCTTCTGTGAAACCGAACTGGCGTTTAGGCCAAATTAACGCGTTTGAGTTGACAGATGTTGGCGTGGATTAGCGCTAGCATGCTCAGCAGTGGGGATGTATGAGGCACTGCCTGACTTTGTTGGGCAGGGAGGGAGTGACTGACTGCACGTCGTTCATTCAAACTCCAGTCAACGCATTGTTTTAATCTAGTCGGGTATTACAGTCGATATCTTACGACAATTTTAATGAAATGCCATTACCTTTAAACACCCGTGGTGATATATTATTGGTGCATTTTTAGAAAGTCTGGACACGTGTATATCTAGCCTGCAGCTAGCCTAGCTCATCTGCTAAAACTAATGCTAGTAACTGTTATCTGTAAAGTTAGCTTACTGATTTTCTTTGTATATACCCCCTGCTGACTGTTTTCCATCAGCTCCTGCGTCTAACCCTTAAAAATGTAGTTGAGGTGGACTCTGATGTTGCTAAGTGAATCTTTATAAAAATGCAAGAGTATAAGGCAGAGCCCAGCTGTGAACTGGATAATGGGACAAGGCCCCATTAAGGCCCCCTAAAACAGAGGGGCTTAAGGTCATACCTTTGTTACGTTTCTGTAGATCACTTTAAATGCAAGCTATACTGTAATAATATTGCATTTTATAGATCATGTAAGCTTTTTGTTATTTATATATATACATACATACATTGGACTACATAGTTACACTATTCTTATTAGGGGCTTTAAGTAGCCCCGATTTAGGGATTAAATTGGTATGTTTTAGATTATGCTGAGAGTTTGTGAATCAGTCTAAGTAATTTATGTTTTTACTGTCTTATTTTTCTTTTTTTGAAAGGTTGGAATTATTCCCTAAATTGTAAAAGTATGTATTAGCTTCTGTTAGAAACTCAGTAGTAGTAGTAGTAATAATAATGATGATGATGATGACAAAAAGCTTGCAGTGCTTTGTGATGTTATGATACTGTACACACTATGAAATCAAGTGTGTGATTACCCCCGACAAAAGCCCTTAACTGTATATGGCAATGACCATTCCATTAAGTTTTTATCGTTAACTTTGTTGAAATTTGTGATATTGAACTAACTTTGACTTTGAAGTAAAGGCAGGACTTTAGCAATATTATGATATAAATCTGACCCAACTACCCCAAATTTCTTTGCCATTTGTGATCAGTGGACTTGTGTGGTTGACTTTGTGATGTGTTTGTGTGCATGTCTCCTCAGAAAACAACTGAAACTGAAGATCAACAGACTGACGGTCAGGTTGTTGCGAATCCTGAGCAGTATATCAAACACCCTTTGCAAAACAGGTGAGAGTCAAACCAGGTTCTGAGTTTGATTTGGATGAAAGCTGCTTGTGCTTCCATACTCTGCAGTCTTCTTGCAACAACCAGCAAATCCTCTGGCCAAACAATCAGAAATGGCTGGTGTAAGCATTTCTAAAATTAGATACAGGGGAGGTTTCATTTAGAAAAGCCAAACTGTGCCTTAAGAGGTGGGTGTGGTGGTGAGATCAAACACACCCGTCTCGTTGATTCAGAGACCGGGGCCCTATTTCAGGAAGCCGGTTTAGAAAACTTAGAGTGAAAAACGATACTCAGGGTTGAGTAACCCCGAACTGTCCAACTCGGAATATTCGGTTTCAGAAAGGCTGATAACAATTAGTTCAGTCAACGCGGAGTTGCTTTAACCCCAAGTGAAGCGCGCGCACGAGGATACATAAAGCCCTGATAAGCGGAGCACAGAGTAAGCGAGTCACCATGGAGACGGAGGGAAAGAAGGCGCGGTCAATGTATTTTACAGCGCTTGAGGCCGAAATTCTGATGGCAGCATATGCCAATAACATGCAAATTTTGCAGAAAAAAAGGTAACACAGCCTCAGCTGCAAAAGAAAGTGAGCATGCATGGCAAAACATAGCCGACAGAGTCAATGCGTGAGTGTTAATTTAAACATTGATCTAGGGATTTCCACCCATTTAACACGTTATTTTATCATTTGTTATTTTATACATTTTATGTTGTGATGTGATGTGAGCGCAGGTGCAACCCAACAGGCCCCAAACGTTCCTGGCAGCAAGTAAAAATGAAATATAAAAATATAGTCCAAACAGGTGAGGTGTAATTGTATTATGAGCCATAGTGCTTGGTCTGTTTGTCTGATGTAAATCAATTGCAGTTAGAGGCTACATTAATTTTCTTTCTGTAAGCACTTATTGAAATTATCTGAGCACATACAAGTACATATTTGCGTACTCTGTATGCTCAAATGTGACCCGTTATAGCCAACAGAAAAAAAGCGGAGGCCCGAAAAACAGGTGGGGGTCCTCCACCACCACCACTCACAGAGGCTGAGCAGTTGGCCCTCAGCCAAAACAGTGGGCGCCCTGTGGCTGAAGGCATCTCTGTGGGGACATCCTCTGAGTCAATAACCCCGCAAGACACAAGTGCCTACATAGGGGGTAAATTCAAAATAATACATGATGTGCATACATCCTTTCTTCACAGTCACCTTTGCAGTGCTGCTCATTCATTTGATAAACTCTTTACCATAATGGATTATTTTGTAGTGAAGTTATTTTCCTACTGATTTTGCCTTCCCTCAGTCTTGGTTGTCTTTGAGAGCATAATGACAATGAAGTGTAAGCTGAGTGCTATATGTTTGTTAATTGCCATTTGGTCCCTTGTAAGTTATAAGTGACCTGTATAAACCTCATATTCTATCAGTTGATGGTGGTGGTGTACTGCATCTGGTGCAGCCTCCTGTTGAGCCAGACCAACATGCAGTTGTGAGTAATACTCCACAGATTATATGAGTTTACAGTAGAACAGCAATGTTGTTTATTTCTTTACTGCAGGAAAATAATGAAGAAACATTGACAGCTGTTACAGAGGAGGAAGCAACAGAGACACTTTATGAGGTTTACATCTTTTAATACTTTGTGTACAGGAAATACAGGCGACCAATAAAGCCAGTTGAACAGAAAATCTGTTTATTCGTCTTTCAACATGTTGAGGTGATGGGTCAAAAGAAATGATTGTGACATATGGTGTCTCTGACTGCTCTTCCATCTTGTATGTCCGTGGGAGGGTCAGGATGTTCATGGTTTGGATCACTGCTGATGTCTGGTTCAGAAGGACAGTGTTCTCCTCTAATTGTGGCAATGTTGTGAAGAATCACACATGCCACAATAATGTCACATGCCCTTTCTGGGGTGACCCTGAGTCTTTGCAGGCACTGGAACCGGGCCTTAAGCATTCCGATAGTCATTTCAATTCTGGCTCTTGTCCTGCAATTAGCCAGATTATATCGCTGCTGTGGGCCCGGTTCAGGGTCAGGGTAAGGGGTAAGCAAATAGGGTAAACATGGATACCCCCTATCACCAAGCAAGTAGCCAGTGAACTCTCCTAAGACAGAAGGGTACACTTCAGTTCAAATGTCCCTGAAGCAATTGGTCTTTATATATTTTAAAGTATTCTCAACTCACCATGTCCACATTTTGTGCTCAGTGTACATTCACGGAATATTTGTGAGTCATGGACAGAGCCTGGCCACTTGGCTTCCACATTTGTGATAATGTTGGCAGCATCACATATGATCTGCAATTTTGTGGCATCCCTCGTTGATAAATCTTGTGGGTCTATGACCGGGGAACACCACAAACGAGTGCAGGAGACGTTTCAGTGCAACTGTAACATTCCTGACTGCCCGACAGACGGTAGCCTTGGAAACGTGCTCAGCGTCACCAATATTGTACAGAAAGCTCCCGTTTGCAAAAAACCGAAGTGCGGTACAAAGAATATGTAATGGACTGAGCGCATGTCCGCGATGTGTCACATGCGTAATATATGGCCTGAGGATGTTATCCAAATAACTTATTGATTGTGCTGAGAAACGGTAACGTTCGCACAGGAAATCATCAGGTAATGATAAAATGTCCATACGCGCTCTGATCACTCTCTCCCGGCGGAGAGCTCTGCGGAGTATTTGGGCTTCAAGATCTACTGGCTCTTCAAGGAAGGGACACGCCATATCTGACACTTCCTACTGTCAGGTTTCCGACAAAGAGGCGGGGACAGTCAGGGTTAGTTGAAGTAAACCTGCTAGGGGGCAGGTTAGCTTCACGGAGTGTGTCGTCATAGTGACTCACTCAGGCTTCAGCTGAACTCGCTTTGTGAAACCGAAAAACCAGAGTTTTCGTTAACTCAGGGTATACTTAGTCAGACTTTGCACTAAACCGGCTTCCTGAAATAGGGCCCGGGACTGGACTCTCATCTGAAACAATTTTTAATGTTGGTTTTGTCATGTTAATTAAATAGTTTGAGGCACAGACGAAACTCGTTGGGGTTGATTTGGATTATAATAGAATCTCTTCAGGCTTACCAGGGTGCCAAATTTCACCCCATCCAGAAAGGTGTCAACACCATTGAACATTTCACGCCTACTGATTTTTTTAACACCCTTTCAAATATCACCTTTGTGACCGTTTTCAGAGGGAAGAGGGACTTCTTTTTTTCATCATTATTTACACACAAATACAGAAACTGAGCTCATTGAAAACATACAGAGATGGTGGGGCTAAATGTACTTAATCGCTTAGGATCAATAACCTTTCTCTATAGAGACAAAACAGCTGTTTCATTATGAAATCAGTGAAGAAGTTTTCCTTTAGGAATAAGGTTAGTTGTGTATTTATCACTGTGTGAAAAGTGTTATTTTACATTGAGTTGAACCTGTCATTTCATCTTCATCTAGTTTTAGGATGGGAGCTGTACTTTGACTTTTGGTCTTTGGCATCACAAACATACTTACAGTCATGTGCTGATTGATTTTTCTTTTTGTCCCTCTGGTCTCTTGGATGAAAGTGAAATTAGAAACTCACCACAGCACTTATTTTGACAGCGTAAACAGGATATTCAAATGACCCATCTAGTCACTTGGGAAAATTATGGATGAGTGCACAGCAAACGTGTTTTCAAGCAGTTACAGCTTGAGCATCATAGTAAGGATAAATGTTCAGTTTATTTTCATCAGGTTCATATTTGCACTTTCTGTTTGTTTTCTTATTTTAAGGTTTAAAATCAGAAGAGCAGATTGAGGAGTCATGTGTTTTGTTTTTTCCTCTGTGTTAGAATTGCAGTTGTTGTTTTTTCTATTGTCCTTTTAGAAATGTTATCATAGTTCTGCAGTGGCGACGAGCTATTCAGGAGCATTGTACAGTCGGTTTGGAAATGCTGGATGGTTCTCTTGGCAAGTCACTTCTAGGTCATTCTGCTTGTTCAGCTCAGCCTCAGAGGTCAAGGCTGTCCATCTCTGCTGCTTTCACCCTGGTTTTATTTAAACATATTGACGTGGGGGGTTTGTTTTCCATTTTGACAGTTTTGATTGCAGACTTCTCATTTTGAGGGCTAGGTGTTGTCACTTCTCTCTGGCTTCACTGTAAGGAAGTAGAGGACTGTTGAGTTATTTGGAATTTGTGGTTAAATATTCATCACAGATGTGTTTTAACTGTCTCACCGGCCAAAGGTGTGATTGGTTTCTTAATAAATGATTGAGCTGCTTTATGTCAGTTTTAGCATCAGTGGTTGGCGCTCTCAGAGTGAGGTCGGAGTTTTTAGGTAAAGGAAGACAAGTTCTTATCCCCCTTTTTTTTTTTTTTTTTTTTAAATCTACAGCATGTCTCATTGTACTTGCAGATTTTTGCTTTTGTCTGTCATAAATATTTACTGCTGCTAAATTGAGAGGGGCTAAAATAACTTGTTTTTTTTTTTTTGTTTTTTTAAATGAATAATGTGAGGGTTGCACAGAGGTTCAGTGTAAGTAAATACAGATTAGTTTTAACAGTGAATCACGCAGAGTCACTAATTAATACTAAATGAATAATTAGCAGACAAATCCCCTTTGACATCTGTTCAAGGTGGAATAAAGATGGATAGTTTTACTGATAACAGTGCATCATACTTGGTGTTTTATATCTGTGCCATCTAATTGAATTATTCCCTGATACTTTATTACCATCCTTAAGAGATTCCCTTTAATATCTGCTTTCATAGATTTAAATATAATAATTGCTTATGAAGGTTTTCTCTTGCTTTTGGAAAGAGTTTGGATCTTGCTGCGGTCTGAAGGTGAGTCCAGAGATGGATTTGAACAGACTGCGCAGATCCGTTACTCAGCTGTTACATAAGATGATCACTTTCAAGTTTCAAAGTCATGCAGCACCATTTTCATATGGCACCGTCATTAAGCGAAACCAGCAGCTGCTGGGAAGTAGGAAGAACGCATTCAGCTTCTGCTTTGGAAAATTGTTTAGTATACAGTTTACTGGAGCTGAAAGTGAAGTGGATAGTTTATGCCTGTCTGCCCATGGACTCTTTTTATTTTTAAAATCACGACCGTGTTTTTTTTAAAGTCAGAAACACAACAACTCGTCTGTGTTTGGCAGCTGAACTATTAAAAATTCAGATGACAGTGTTTCTCTAGCTCTGCTGCGGCTCATTCTTATTTACTTTACACACATTCAGAAAACTGTGGGGACTGGAGCACGCTGATTAGTTCACAGCTGAACAAATCACATATTACTGTCTGTGTCAGAGGGTGATGTCACAGTAGTAAATTAATCAGTCCTCTTCAGGTTTGCTGTTTCATTTGGCTGCATTGGCCTGAAATGATCATTTTATCTCTCGTGAGATTTTAAAGTACATGTGAAGAACAGAGCTGGCTTGACTTGCTGTCTGGCATATTTGTTTATATGCCATTACTAGGCATGTAGTCTTGGCTTGTGACTGTTCTGGGTTCACCAGAAGAATCACGGCTGTGAGCAGTCTGGTGTCAGTATGTGCAGTGTGATGTTCGCATTAAACAAATATACTTTCATCCTCTCTTTTAGCTCTGTTCGGTCCATTTGCTTCATTTGTGTCTATGGCACATGGGTGGGTTTGTTACAGTTGTAAGTGGAGGGGGGGCAAACGGTTCAGCTGATGTCCTCTCACTGCCCTGAACCCTGCCTGCTAGCCTCCCACCCACTGCCCCTTGGTAATGCATAAAAGAATTACAGCAGCCACTGTAAACAAAGAGTGCATTTGTAGTGCGGTTGATGGCTGGCTTTCTCTTGTTTTTTGCATTGACATTCATGCTTTTGTTACTAGCTGTTGTGTTCTTCTGTGAAACAGCGTGTACGTCTGCTGTTAGGGTAAACGTTTCACGCAGTTGTAACATAAAATAGACTTTGAGTCCTTGTTTTTGATTTTAACAGTGATGGTACAGCATTGAGCTGTTATTAAATTAAAAGAGATACAAAACATTGAATATGCTTGTACTGAAGAATTGATTGCTAACAATAATGGTTTTATTTTAAAAAAAGAAAATGTAAAGTACCAAATACCCTATACTGAGCCCAGCTGCTGTTAAGTAGGAACCCTAAATAGTGTTTTCCAAGAACCCTGCACTTTACTATTAGCAAAGATTGGCAAAGTGAAAAAAGGTCCAAAGTCACTAAAGGAAAGCACAAGGTGTGTGGACTGCAGCGCTGTATAGTGGTTTCAAAATCACGTACCATGCTGCCCAATGTCTTTCTACAGAGAAATCACTTAATTTCTGACACAAAACAGGCTAAAATACAAAAATGTAACTGTAGAAAAACAAGAGAGAGACAGACTTACTCAGGCTGGTATGGCCGGATTTGGGCTCTCAGCACCTGGTATTCCCATCGGCTGTCTCCCATCCAAGTATTACCCAGGCATTACCCCACTTACCTTCTGACATCGGAAAAGCTCGTACTGTGTTGGCTCTGCGACAGACTGGAAATATGTCCAGGTTGATACATTTGTAAGTGATGACAATTCTGATTTCTGATCCCCACAAAGATGGAGAAGTCAACAAGCAGGGAGTTTTCCCCTCACACTCACGAGGTTTGCTCAATCACAATTTGGGGCAAAGTCATGCACTTTCTTTTATTTTCAGTTTATGCATGTTCAGCAATCTGCATTTTCCGACATGGTTTTGAGAGATTTTCAAACAGTCAGTGTAATTACGCTCTTTACCTCTTGGTCTATGAATACTGAATTCTATGAATGATGCATTTTTATTTTATTGTTTGTTTGTTTTTTAGATGGGCCCTGTGGTATTTCAAAAATGACAAGAGCAAAAGCTGGACAGAGAACTTGCGTCTCATTTCTAAATTTGACACAGTGGAAGATTTTTGGGCGTAAGTTTTCTCTGCTGAAGTCAGTCTGAGTTATTGATGGTTTGTTATTAATGTGCACAACATGTCCCTTAATGGTAATGTCAATCAGGATCAGCATGTTTCACTTTACTGATTGTTGTTTAATGACCATTGTTCTGATAAAAGCTTCTGAAATTCTACAATTCGACACACTCATGTTGGGAATCTACTTTTTCATCTTTCTACCAGATTATACAACCACATACAGCAGCCAAGTAAACTCGGCTTTGGCTGCGATTACTGCTTATTCAAGGTAAGGCTCTTTTTTTTTTTATGTTAAATGTTTACACATTTTCCCTTAATCTCAGTTGCAACAGAGTCTAAAGACATGGATAGGGTTTAATAGCTGCTTCATATTGTGCGTCAGGATGGGATCAAGCCCATGTGGGAGGACGACAGGAACAAGCTGGGGGGTCGATGGCTGATGACTCTCAACAAACAACAGAGGCACAATGACCTCGATCGCTACTGGATGGAAACAGTAAGACGGCTGTTTTCTGAAACCACTCAGTAGAGTCGTATCCATTGGATGTTTCCCCTGATGGTTGTGATTTAAATATAAATGTATATATGTATAGTTTGACTTTTTTTGTGCTTTTTGCAGCTGTTGTGTTTAGTCGGTGAGTCATTTGATGAGGCAAGTGAAGACGTCTGCGGAGCTGTGGTCAACGTCAGACCTAAAGGTGACAAAATATCCATCTGGACGAGCAACTGCCAAAACAGGGACGCCATCATGACGATAGGGTGAGCCTTTAAAGTCACATTACTCATAATACGCAAGTAGGAGCTACTAAATGGCAACACTGAGCTTGCTTGAGTCTTCACACTGCTTCCATTTCATCTCTTCACAGGCAACTTTACAAAGAGCGTCTCAACCTCCCCATGAAAGCCATGATTGGCTACCAGTCGCACGACGACACGTCCAGTAAGAGCGGCTCCACCACCAAGAACATGTACTCCGTTTGAAAAAGCTCCTCATTTCAATTTGCTGTAGATTTAAACAATTGCCGATCTGCATCATCACATTAATTTTTGAGTTGTCAACTACTGTAGTGTCCTTTCCTTTTATTGCTAAGAGAGGTGTTCATAGCGTGTACAGCTGGAGCTTCTCCCAATTCAAGATGCCAGCGGAGCGGTTGTTTAAAGAAAAAGAAAAAACGGGGAGGAAGGGTATCGGGCTTGAGATGTTGTACGACGAGTAAGAGAACACACGATGATTTACTTTTAGAGTTGAAGACTTCTGTGATTAATATCAGTGACCTCTCCTAGCTTAGCTGAGAACAAGCTTTTTTTTTCCAATACTTAATGGCTTGAGTTGTTTAATTAAAAAAGAAAGACTTAACTATAGGGCCTTGTGTTTCTCTCATGCTGAGTTCTCACTCTTTACAAAAAGTGTTTCTCACCTCACAGGAAAAAGAAGGCAGGCAACTCGTCCTCATACAGAACAAATTTTAAGGGCAATTTTAACTTGATTTATCCACAAGTGTTGAGCATGAGCCGGGCTTTCAGACGCACCAGCTTAAATAATCTACAGTATCTTAAAGGTTTGTAAAAGCTGTGGTCACACTCCAAAGTGTAGGGTTTGGATTAAGGCCACTTGTTGTTTCAGCCATGCTGGAATTATGGGATATTGCTTGTAGGTTTTGCTTTGTTTTTTCCCCTCAACTTTTTTTCTCTTCCCTTTACATTTATTTATAATGTATGCATTGCAGTTACTTAGTTGAAAGACAACCATGAAGCTCGTGTTTTTTCAAATTGTTCTTTTTTTTTTTCTTTTTTTGTTATTAAGGTTAATAATGTGGACTACTGCATATAGATGACATTTTTTACAGTGTACCATACAGTAAAGATGCCGACAGAATTAGGTGTGCTTTTCACTGTTTTCTTCCTAACAAAAACTGTAGATAATGTCGCACTCCTCTCTTGGTTGTTGCAAAAGAAAGATGATATTCATTGTGAAATGATTTTGCTCATAATGTATCTTTATTATCTGTAATTCCAGGATGTATATTACCTTCTTTCAAGTAAAGTTTAAGTGCTTTGCATTAAAACCAGAAGCGTGTTGTTTTGTTTTGAGGTTTTTAAAGTTGGCAAACTTGCTTTCTTAAACACTAAGCTGATTTTTAAAATTCCGTTTTGACTACCATTTGTGGTATTTACCAACTCCTGGGAACAAAAATCTGACTTTTTAGTAAGTGCTATAGTGAGAAGCAGCTTGGGCTAATGTCATACTCATGAGGAAAAATGAAAAGTGACCAAAAACTCACAAGCTTTGCAGATTTGTTGAAAATGATGGAAACTACCACAAAAAAAATGTAGCAGCAGTATATTCTGAGGAAGTTATTTTTCAGTTTCACACAGAGGAGAAATGTATGAAGTAATGCTGTGTTTTTGTCACAGCTGGATTCAAGTTGTTGGCTTTCTTTTTTGCGAGCAGAATCTACAGATACACCCAAACTGAAGAGCAGCTAAAATGACAGAATCTAGAAGAGGGGGGGAAAAAGTGCACGAAGCCATAAAAACACATTTCAGCTTTTCAAAAGAGATGGAAGTATATTTAACTTTTACATTCTAATGAAAGTTTAGAAAAATGCACATTTTTAAGTTTTTTATTTTTAATTTGAATAGAAAAATGTCAGAATACCTCTCAGCATTGTTAACATGTCTGGTCAGAAAATTTTCAAAATACCTTTTAGCTACTTTATAAACTTTGAAAAGTGACGATTCAACTATACACCTGTAAATGTTTCGATGCTCATCAGTGTCTGGGTCAACATTTTCCAACTATGTGCTGGCAACTGATCAAGAGTGGAATAAAACAATAGAAGCCACAGATGCATAAATGTGAAGCAAACAAACTGGTTCAAAATACTGTATTAATGTGGGACACAGAGGCATGAAACTATTCTTTCCTTTTTAACTTTACAATTTATAAATCACTACTCCGGCTTTTCCTCTAAAGCACACAGACCACAGTGAAAATCTCTGGAATGGAAAGGGTACTGACAACATCACCTTAAGTGTATGTAGCCAAGATTGCTTGTAATGTCCATTGGTCTATCGCTAGACCAGCTGCGGCTGATGACGCCTATTATTTTTTTACTGTCGTTCAAGTTAATCATCCAGTCAAACAGGATCTTATAGCGTCATGGAGACTTTTATTGTTTAAAAGGGTGTAAATAAAAGTCCTCCACCCTTTTAGCTCCAAACACAGATATGTTTATCAGCACAGTGGCATGACTTCCTTGTGTGAAAGTAATACATCCCAAAGGGTTATGGAAGAGCTGTTACCTAACACAAAACTTGATCTGTGAGCGGTTTTTTTTTTGTTTTGTTTTGTTTTTTTACAAATTTTTCATTACAAAAATGATTGCACAACAAAAATAAGCTGTTCTGTAGATGGGGCATCTGCGTGAGATACAATCCAGCTGGTATGTTTGTTCGTTTGGTTCAATAAATATGGAAAAAATTAGTAAAGAAGACCATCCAATCCAATCCATCCAAGAAAAGGAAAAAACAAAACACTATTGGTCCTTCAGCCACGATCCAGCCACTGTAGTAACAGATGTCCTTCTTGCAGCATCCTCACTTTCTGCATTGTTCAGCTGGATCCTGGCAGCCTTATATCAGGACATCGTCATAATCAAAGGCTTTACCTCATCTTGTTTGTTCAACAGATTCGAGAGCATATAGGACGAGAAGAAGAAAAATTCCACGGCGTAGCTGAGCTCAAACAGCTCCAGGTTCATACTCAGCATCCACTCAAAGACAGCAGACAGATGGATGTAGAAGTACTTGCTCTGAGCGAACAAGACAGTATCTGAAGGTTCTGGGTTAAGGGTGTTTCACTGGTCTACTGATGGTTAAAACTATGGAGGACATAGAGCTTACACATTTCTTTGACAAAAGAACATAGCTATATGAGGCGAAACTGTGTTTCTATCATTAATGTGGGCTAATTTGGGATTAAATACACTCTTATTGGATGAGCATGAATCAGCTGCATGGGCCAGCTCTTCCTGGAGTTCTCCCACACCTGACTACTGTGTGCATACATCAGGGGCAGAGTTAGCACATAGTCATGGCAACCACAACAAATCTGCTCAACAATCTAGCCACCCTTTGCAACCAATGAGACACGTTTGACCTTTACTCATAGAACTGAAGTTACATTCAGTAACCATTCGTCTTTGGCTATTGTTCTCATACACACACACAGCACAGCAATCCGTTTTATTGTAAACCTCATGAATGTTGTCACATAAAAAAAGAAAGAATAACTTCCCCAATCACTGCAGACTGATATCAGCAACTAACCATACGTAAAAATATACAAGAAACCCATAAAAGTAAGTTATAAAAGTGAGGAAAGAAAAACTCTGCTACTCTGCACAGTCAATAGATTCTGTATTCCTGATGTTAAATAGTGCTCTTCTGTACTCAAAGAGCTTCATGCAACATGCCTCATTCACCCATTCACACAAACACCTTTTTCCTATGCTTAAATGCCTTGTAGCTAACATTCACACACATTCATACTCCCATGGATGCATCAGAGGGCAGCTTTTGCTTAGTATCTTGCCCAAGGGTAATTGACATGCAGGCTAGAGCAGCCAGGGATCGAACCACTAACCTTCCAATCAGTTGATGACCTGCTCTACAGCCACCTCAATCACCGAATCTCTGCTAAATGCTAAATGAGGTGTCTAATGTTTCATTGCTGTGCATCTGATCCCATAGATCTACAAGGTTGAGGACAAATGTAAAGCTAGAAGGAAAAGGAAAGGAAAGCTATGGTTAATAATTCACTAAAAAAGGTCATTAATGTGTATCTGCTTCTGTCATGTGGACTTCTGTGGCCGGTCCCACTTGGTAAACACAGGAGCTGACCGGATCCAAATATGTCCCAGTGTGTTATAACTCATGCATTAGTTCTAGAGCTAGCTGCTGAAATCCCTTGTTTAAAGGAACACCAAATTAACCCATCAAAAGTTTACTATTAACCTGCGTGCTTAACCAGCCACAAGGTCGATGGGTATGGCTTAAGAAACAACAACAATAAAAATAAAAAATAAAGTTGGCTCCATGATTTGTGAAAGGATACAGATGACGGTCACAATTACTTGAATCACAGTGGAGATGATTCGCAGTGGGTAGAGAACCTTTTCATATCCAGATAGGGCGCACTTCCCTGTCAGCACGGTGAGAATGGCCGTGTAGAAGCACGCGCACATGAAACTGATGGCAGCCCCGAGGTAGTGGAGGAGTGACACGTGAAACGGCTGTGGAGGACATTCACCATCAAATCCAGCGAATAATAGCAGGCTGTTTAAATCAAGACTAAGATTGCGAAAGGTGTTGGCATGTGAGCAGAGATGGGCAGTAACTGTAATCTGATTACTTTTTTCAAGTAACGAGTAAAGTAAGGGATTACTATTGCAAAAACGGTAATTAGATTACAGTTACTTTCCCATAGGAACGCTGCGTTACTGCGTTACTAAAACCGTGATTTTTTGCGAGAATGTCTCACAACAGCTGTGTTGGTGACAACAGCTGTGTGCAGATCAACAATGGATCACATATCGATTGTGGGAGAGAGTATGAGCGTGCAGCGTTTAAAGCGTGGAAGTACTGACCTTACTTTGAGTTTGATTCCATAAAAAGTGACAAAAACATTAGCGTCCATTGTGCGTGGGAAGAAAACTTCTTTTTACAGCGAAAAACACCGCTAAACTTCCAAGCAAGCACCGACTGCGCAACGACTTAATGGGAAATTCACAGAGAAACTCGCGGATTCTTCAACTGACCGCGGCACACCTGCACCAGGGTAAACGGTTAAAAGATTAAAACTGATAAAACAAGTTAAAAAAAGAGACTTTTCCATTTGATTACATTTTGTATGATGGATTATGTAGAAAAAGTAGAATTGGGCTGAAAGATCTATCACTTCATCACCTCTTCAGGTTGTAAATCGTGTTTTTTTAAAGTAACTAAGTAACTAAGTAATTAATTACTTTTGAAAATAAGTAATCAGTTAAGTAACAGGATTACTTTTTTGCAGAAGTAATCAGTAATTAGTTACTGATTACTTTTTTCAAGTAACTTGACCAACACTGCATGTGAGTGAGTACTATCAGGCAGTGTGCAGTGAAAAATACGATGTCGCCGAACAGGTTTATGATTTGAAACACTTTCCAAGTATTTGGATGTCCTTAAACCCTTTGTTTAAATTATAACTGGTTTCCTTTCATTCCTGCTTCACTAACTGATTTTTCTAGAATTGTTTTGTCACTACATGTAAGTGCAGTACAACACTACAGATCACGTAGCAGAATGTCATATTTGCCCTTTAACACACTAAAAAACACTATAACCCAAGCATAAATGGCACTTTAGTGTGCTTGGGCTCTCATTATAGATGGCCTAAAGCTACAAGATACCCGCCTTTATTTGCTGTTTTAGCACAAGCGCAAACAGAAATTCTCATTTAGATCTGAAACAATGTAACCCTGCAGAAACACCGCTGCAGTATGACGTTCGGCACTTACGTTGCAGTTTCCGGCTGCGAATGCCCCCATGGCTGCAATCACACCGAAGACCAGTGCAAATTTACTCAGCATGGACTGACTTGAGTGCCTCTCCATAATATGGGCATGGTGGAATATGCAGAACAGGAAAACTAAAGAAGAGATCGCAGTTGGTGTGACACACATCCCTCATACATGTATATGTGTGTATAATGGTTTAGGCATTTAACAGGTAAACTCACACATGAAGGATCCGGCGTTGATTGTGGCTGTAAAAAGTGAATTTTCTGGCGGATATGTTCCACTTGAGCTGAAATAACATATTTAGTTTGTTTCATTCTGTCTCAAGATTTCATTCCAAGGAAGAAGAAAAATGAACGGGTGCATTTAGTCTTCTTTTACCTTATTGTAGGAACCCAGCAGCATCCAGCATCAGTATGATTAGCCCTGCAGTAGTTGCCATTACCCCTGCGAACAAGTTAATTCCATTTTAGAGGCTGCATTATTAAATAAACACTGGGTCATATTTAAAACAAAATGAGGATGATTTAAAAAGTCACCAGTCAGTGAGGGCGCACACATGATTGTTGGAGAAGGCTAGCCCGTATCTGGAAATATAAAACAAAAGAAAAACTGTTAAGAATCTGCAAACATCAAACCAGAAATGCTTCCAAGGAAGTGTCACAGCATGTGAGCATCAACGCCAAGCACGTTTTCAGTTTGGTGTGACTCAGTCGTTAAAGTCGTTTGTTCAACAAGATTTTCTTTTATGAACTTAGTGACAGACACAGTTCACACCCTGCAAACAGAACAAGCCGGCTCACATATTTTCAAACTCCAAAGCAGGTGAGTTCTGACGTGCCTTTACATTTAGAAGCTGCTCTGACGTCGACGACTGTTTCCACAGACGATGTGCAGATAAAACAGTACAATAAAAGATTGTGAAAAGCAGCGGAAATAATATGATGCCATTTTCTTTACTTCCTCTTCATGGCCAAATGTTATCAGCATTGCAGAAATCCCACTGATTTCTGAAAGTGCCAGGAAAACGCAGTTCATGTACTAAGCTTGACTATCAAGTACGTGGTGTGACGTTATCGGGAAAAACATTCAGATATGAATAAACTCTGTTTACTAGTTTCACATAGAAAGAACATTGTTATGACTGAGTAAAAATGACATGTTTAAAAACGTTCCCACAGCTTTATGACAGTGTAAATGTCAAAAAACAAACAGTGAATCTGTAGTAAACTTACACACTCCACGTTCCAATGAAGGACACCAGGGAAAGACAGATGGGGAAAATAATCCACAACCCCATGTCTGGATGATGATGACGACAAGCAGCAAAGAGACGGATTCCAGAGGTCCAGCTGTCTTAAAAATACTCAATGTCAAGCCTCTTTGGGGGGTTTATAGAAGCCTCATGCAGTCAGCATTATATACAATCAGTACTAGAACAGAAAACCCCCCAAAAAAATCCTAACTTCAAGTCCTTGGAGCAGACGTTTGCACTGCTGTTGGTAGTTTAGTCTTCCTCCATCCGGAGGACTACCTCCCTTTTAAATCAGACTGTCTCTGCCACTCCTTCAGGGCACCACCTTGCTGTGTTACAACAAATATTATGAAACACAGGGTTGGTCTTCTTGTCACATTATTTGTTTTGTCGACGGTCTCCCTTCTATAGTCCTTGCCAGCTACTGCTCTGTTTGACACGTATTAAAGATCAACTCAAACAGTAAATGTTTGGAGTTGTGCACAGATTTGAATTTATGAGAATTTTCCAATGAATGGCTGGTAGGATTATTAGATTAGACAAGCTTGGAATGCTTTAAGCCCCGTGTCTTGTCTTTCCTGTCAGGTAGGTGGCTACGTGCACCCTGTACAGTCATTTCAATAAATATGAATTTCAGGTACTTGTACTGTACATGTGTGTGTGTCTGTGCTGTAGTCTCTTTTATACTACATAACATTTATTCTCTACTACATTTTGGAGGAAAATATCCAATATTTGTTTTCTACATTCCCCACATAAAGTACTGTGCAAAAATCTTGAACAACCCAAACACTGGGAAAAGGCTGAGATGTGCCAAATTATACAAGAAAGTGGCAAAAGGTCTTATGGACTGATGAATCCAACTTTTTGTTTGAAATCATCATCAATATGTAGGGAAGAGGTCAGGAACGAGGTACAGCAGTGAGCGTCTACAGCCGTCTGTTAAACACAGTGGGTCCCCTGTAATGGTTTGTAGCTAAATTTCACCCAGTGGTGTCAGAAAACCTGTCAAAACAGAGAAATACCATCAGATTTTGATCCACTGTGCAATACCACGTGTCAGCATGACAATGATCCCAAACACACACAGTAAAAGCATAGCCTAACAGGAAAAACACACACAAACACGAAGAGCTTTAAATGTGCTACAAGAATTCTAGGCAACTATTCATGAAGGCTGCTTAAAGAGGTGACAAGAAAGTAGGCTGAGAGTCTTCAGGCTGTGTTGGAAAATAAAGGTAATCATAGCAAATATTGATTTTCAAGCTAGTTAGAATGGTACAAACTACCTTTTGTCTCCTTTACTGTGTTTCTACGTCTTTGCACAAGTTTCAGTAAATTGCTGCACCTGTTTCCTGTTTTCCTAACAAATGATAAAATGAGCGGTGACTCAAGACTTTTGCACAATACAGTATATATTTACTCAACAACTGAATTACAGGCTGCTCTTTTAGAATGCATTTAAATTGTAAATCCAACACTTATATTTATATTTGATTATCAATATATTTTGTTGTGGATCACTGGAGTGAAAATAATTTAATGATCTAAGTCCTTTCTTCACCTACTGGTTTAGGAAAAAGCAACCAATCATGTTTCGTTTTTAAACTTTTGAAAGTCATTGGTTAGCCTCCCTGAAGCATTACACATGGATGATCTAATAAATCCACAACACTTGATCACAGGGCAAATGATAAATCAGTGTCAGATATTTCTTTTATATTTCGGAATAATGTAAATCCTCAAAGGAGAAATGATCACTCGTCTCTTCGGAGAAAAGTTTTCTTTTAATTTATGGCGCATTCTTTGTTCTTAGTAACGTTGTTTCAACTCTGTTATACGGTGAGGTAACGCAATACTCTTTCAGGAGAGGATCGGGGTTTGGGGAGGCCGAAAGAGAAGTTCTAGGGCGTTATACTTATTGTGGAGGTGCCAAAAAAAGACGTGGCAGCTCAACGTGCTGTCTGGCTGTCTGCCGCGTGGGGTCCTCATTTTCTAAACAAACAAAATGGCGGCGCGCATGAGATGGGGTCTTCAGCAGCTTTTACGGACAAGAAATACGGCTCACTTTAGGTTTGAACTATCACCAGCGTTGATCCACCGTACTGTAATACCTATATGATGAGTCTGTGTAAAGCATAAACCAGTATTGCGACGCGTCTCTGCATTTGAGACAGAAATTAGCTTTTAGCCAGCTACATAGCTAGCAAGCAAAACAAATGGGACAAAGCTTTGTCTCCAGGCTAACTCATCCGCCTAGGTGTGGTTGGAGCTGTGGAAGAAAGTAGTTTAGTCTAGTGTTAGTTAGTTTAGTCGTTTTCACTGTGAAAATCACGTGGTAGCTGGCACACGGCCGCTAGCTAGTTAGCATAGTAAAACTTCATTGTTAGTGAGAAGGTTATTCCATGCATAACAACGCCACCCGTTTATATCCTGCCTCAATAAATGAATGAGTTGAGGGGATATAAGGTGTAATGTGTTCTTTGTGCTTCAAGGTTTCCACAGCCGACCAGATGTTCATACCACTCACTGTCCACGACTCAGAGCTTCAGAAGAGTCCAGCCTCACCTCGTAGGAGCCACACAATTCCCAAGTGAGAAACTCTTTTAGAAGTTTGAAAACCTTACATACGTTCACTGCATTATGTTATGCCTGAGCTGATGGTTATGTAATGTCTTACAGTAAGACACCTGTCCATCCAGACTCAAGATACACCGAACCCCAGAAGCCTGAAGTTTCTTCCCGGTAAACCCGTCCTAGGAAGTGGAACGCTTGACTTTCCTTCTCCAAGCTCGACTGGATGTTCTTCTTTAGCCAGGTTGTGTGTCAGACTTAGTGTTGCACTTCAAACACATTTGAAGCCTTGGGAGGCACGTGTAACAGGGCTAGCACTAAAACAAGAAGAATATACTGTATGCTCACTTCATAAGGTACACTGTGCTAATACTAGGTTAGACCTTGTTGGCTTCCTTGAATCATCCCTGTAGTCATAAAGGGATGGACATGCTTAGCACAAGACTCAGGTGAGCTGTGGTATTTAAATTATTCCCAGTTGGAACTCAGGAGTGTTTCAAGAGAATATCCCCCACAAAATTATACCTCGAACAACCTGAACCATTAATATAAGGCAGAATGGATCCATGGTTTCATGTTGTTTATACTAGTTAATGACCCTACCATCTGAATGTCACAGAAATCAAGACTCAACAGATCAATTTTATTACTATTTACTATTGTCCAGTTTTGCTGAGCTCATGCAAATCGTAGCCTCAGTTTCCTGGGGGGCAGGTTTGAGCCTGTGTAGCCTTCCTGTGAGCTTTAAGCAGTTTGTCACTCACTGGCTATTTTCTTTCTCTTTCTTTTTTACCATTCTCTATAAACAAATAGAGGTGTCTTCAGTTCTGATCATGATGGGGTTGCTTGGCTGAATAATACGTATAGCTGATGTGACAGATGTACACCCTGAAAATAAAATTTTGGTCCTCAGTGGATTCCTGAGGAGAGACACATCGGGTTCCTTTGCATATTGTCAGGATGTTTTTTTTTCTTTGCTGATACTTTTAGTATCCTGAGTCTGATTTGTAATCACAAAACAGACCAAAAGGACTTCATTGTTTCATGATATGTTTTTTTTTTATTTCTTACTGAACATGATAATGTGTTTCTCTCAGAGACCTCTTTGAAATTGAAGGAGTACAGAGTGTGTTCTTTGGCCCCGACTTCATTACTGTCACTAAAGTAAGTATTTAATGTCCTCTTACAGTTTGTCTTTGTAGTTATAGTCTAATCATATAATACATGAGATGTTTGTTTTCCTATCAGACAGACGAGGATGTTGAGTGGACGGACATTAAGCGTCATGCTCTGGAGGCCATTGCTAAGTTCTTTGAGAGTGGTGAGCCGATAACAACGGGAGCAGTGCACCATGAAAGCAGTGAGTGTACAGTGTGAAAACATGCAACTTTTTGACTTGAAATTGTGTAAATATTTTCATGTTTTACATTTCTCTTTACTGTAGGTCATTCTGAAGATGATGATGATATTGTTTGTATGATAAAGGAGCTTCTGGACACCAGAATCAGGTAGCGATTTCTCAGTACTGTTGAGAGCTGCTTAAGTAAACCACAGTTGCGCTTCAGAAAGTATTTATGGCACGGTAACATAATACCTTATTGCTTCACTCACGTTCACAAAAAAAGATGTTGTTAGTGTTCTAAGAGATAGTTGTGCTGAGATAACGGTCTTAATCTCACTGTTTCTCTGTCCTGTTCTGTACCAATTGATACGGTCGCTCTTAATCACAAGACCTACAGTGCAGGAGGATGGAGGTGATGTCATCTTTAAGGGTTTTGAGAACGGAGTAGTCAAGCTGAAGCTGGTTGGTTCCTGCACAGGTTGTCCCAGTTCTACTGTCACACTGAAAAATGGGATCCAGAACATGATGCAGTTTTACATCCCTGAAGTGGACAAAGTGGAACAGGTGATAATCTATAGAGCCGTTCTGGGATAAGTTTTTGTGTAAACTCTTCTGATATCAAGTTTGAGAAACTCTTGTTTGGATAAATAAGTCATCACATACAGAAAATTCTGCAGTCACTTTAAAGTGGACTTATTAAGATCATTTCTGCTTCATATTTTTAGTCTTGGACTCTTCTAGAGTGGTTTTGTATTATTCTTTTGTTCAAAATGATTGTTAGTGCGTCCCTTTACAAATGAGCTGTTTTGTTTATTACTCCTATCCAATTTTTCTTTCAAAAGTAGAAAAATATTTTAGCCTTTGCTGGTTTCATTATTTTAAACGTTAATTTTTTTGTTCCCCATTGAAAGCTACTGGCGCATAAATACTGAAATGTTAATGCTGGGTATTAAAGAAGGGGGTAATGCAGCTTGTTGCATGTGGGCTGTGTACAGTATCCACAGACTTGCATTTGCCTACAGAGGACACGTGAAGATCAGAAATCAATCATGGAACCAAGAGAGGATCATGGCGTGGTTTGATGAATTATGTTTTCCTTTAAGTCAGGCTTGATACCACCAGGATGCACTATATCAATATGAAGAAGGCAAGCTAGTGGAGGAATTGTGATTAGGAAATATTTTAGGGAAACCCTGGGTCCATGTGGATGTTACTTTTACATACACACATTTGCACTACACCTTCAGAGCTATTCTTGCCATACAAGGTGGCAAGAAGCAGGAAGCATTCATTTTACAGCTGATGGGTTTTCCAAAGCTCAGTTGCA